TTTGGTTTATATGTGGTTTATATATTTATATATGTATCTAGTGGGTCTTAGACAGGGCTGCTCCTCAAAGCTTCAGGAAATATTTTCCTGATCATTATCTGGTTCCAACTGGTTCTAAAAACATGCTAGGATTGGCCCCTCCCACCTGCCCCATTGCCCCTTGAAGAATTCAACGGTTGACGACGAACAACTTGTACTTAGTTTTAGCCGGTGCTACAGTGATGGTCGCTCGTGATGTTCTCTCCTGCGGAGTCTTTAAAGCACAAAAAGGCTTTGTCCTTCTAATGATCTGGACATTATGCTGCTTGTTAATCGGTCCTATTTGGCAAGTACTACCTCTGGTGTTTATCTCCCGACAATTCACTGGGAGCTTGGCCGCAGAAACAGAAGGAGACGACGATAAAGAAAGTGTCGGGGGAGGAGGGGGGACGAAGGAAGGAGACGTTCTACAAATCCCCGTCTACCGTTTTGACCTTAACACAATTAGTCGTAGGTTGCGTTGCGAAGGAGGGGCGATCACTGAGACGTCCTAATTAAAAAGAAAAGATCGCTGACAGCAGGTGGAGAAATGCACTCGCGCACACACACACGCGAGACGCGTGAACCGACGGACGCGCTCATCAAACATCCTCTGGCTGACAGCCACGTGGAGGCACGCAGCAGGGCGACCTCCTGAAGAGAGAGTGGATCTGTGATTATCATATATCCTCAGGAGTTACGCAACATCCCTGATGGGCTTTAGGTACAGAAAGCACCGAGACGAAGTGACTCCAAGGAAACAGTACAGGTTTTTTTAACCACTAGCTGCAGAACACTTCGCATACTTGAATACTCTCTTCTTATCAGATACCTGAGCATTTTTGTCGATTTAATACAATGTTATTGCAGAAATGTTTCAAAGCTCATTCTCCACAGCTTCTCACTTCAAACACGAACAACCAACCTCTGGTTTTTCCCGTCTCCTAAACACAATGTCAACTGAAGTTGATGGACGCCGAGACGTTTCCTCGACGAGGCAGCCATGCAGAACACTTCAGTGTTTCTCCCCATGGTACTTCATAATTGCACCCCTCCTCCCCCCATCCTAATTGTTCCCCAACATCTCTGGTCAGCAGCACAAGATAATTGAGAACGGGACACGCTGATCTCCACTGAGAGCCATGCAAAAACATTCCCGAAATGACACATCAAACCAGGAAGCGGAAAATCTAAAACTGTACAGTCGAGGGGCCTGTTTTTGATTTGTGGAGTTAGTAAAAAAAAAGATTAATAACTAATTAAAATTAGAACAAAATAACGACAGTGCACTAGCATTCATTACATTACCTAAAAAGACACTTTAGTATCCACCAGGCTTCTACGACCAACGGGTCACAAACTCTGTAAAAATGCATCATGCGTCTGTGCTAGCATCATATAAAAAAAATATATAAATAAAGCTTCAGTGAAGCCGTTGACACATCAACATGGAGTTGATTAAGGAGAGGATAGATGGGACTTGAAGTTGCAAAAGCCAATGAATGTTTAAACTGTGAAGCGTGGTCAAAGTTTAATGTCCAAATATCAATAAATAAGCCAGAAACTAAACTGAGGCTGAGACAAAATGTTGTGAGACAAGTTTTTGGAAAACTCTTTATCTGTGAGAATAACAAATCTAAATCTCTAGATCTGCTGTTTCCATTATTCAGTATTGTTTCTTTGTAGAATTTGGAAGCCAGGTATTTCACGTCGAGGTCACGATCTGCTTCTTTGCCTCACGGAAGGACTGAAATCGATTTGATGTGGAATGTTCTCTCAACTTCGTAGGAAGGAAAACAAAACTATTGTTGCAAAGCCTCAGGTTTCCATTCAAATTTGGTGACATAAAAAAAAAGGAAACATTTCAGCTCTGATTTCAAAAGTATTCTTTTTTTTTTAAGTAACAGCTCAACACCTGGCAGAGATTTAAAAAAAGGACTTTTTTAGAATTCTAACTAGAATTCTAATTCTAACTTCGACCCTTTTACAAAGTACAATGACTCCTCCAGTCTCATCCTGCTCCTGCTCTGTCAATCACACACTTTGATGGCTGACAGTTCAGGGGAGAAACTGGATTTTTTTTTCAGCAGCGTTACATCACACAACTCCAGCTCTCGACCAGATTCCTGACATTTAGCAGGAATCTAATGGCGTGTTCCATGGATACAAAAACGCCGATTTATTCAGTTACATTTCGATGCAAACCACGAAGGGACGCCGCGGCTCAGCAGAGCTAATGTCAAGTGCTTATTATTTTAGGGAGGAAACACGTGGCTTGATGAAAGCAGCCGTCGTCCCTGTGAGATTTCAACGCCTCTGAACGCACGCTGTTTCATAACAGTTCATTTTACTGCGCTTGTTTATTTGCTGTAGTGTTTCGCCATTACTTCTTTCTTTAAGATTCACTTACAAGCCAACTAGGAATTCATTAACACGGTGTTTATGACGGAGGAAAAATGTCCTCACAAAAGGAAAGCGGTTGTTTTCACTTTCCCTGATACATTTAATGTGTTCACATATAAAAATAAAAAAAGGACACTTTTTTTAATATGTTAAAATAACAATCTAATAAAATTTAAGATGTCATTTCAAACTTTATTCTACAAGTACTTCACGACTAACGCCGAGACACCTGCTCCTGTCTCCACTCTTCTATCGACTTCTCTCTGTTCTGGCCTTTTCCACACCTTTCTCTTCTTGTCATTTTCTCCCTTCAACCCGACTGGTTATGAAACATGGTTGCAAAGGTCTGAGTGTTAGGAACATTTTTTTTTTCCCTGTTAGAATAAAATCGTGTCCTTTTCCACTAATGCCATGTTAGTGACCTGATCATTATTTTACTTTTATGTTGAATTTTTTATCATGTTTGCGATACATTTGTACTATTATTTTCTTTGCATTTAAAAGTAAGACCTCCACTCCGTTCCATTTAGTTTTGAATGCTATATTCTGAGGTAACAGTGTGACCCAGAATGGCTCAGCAGCACAGCGTCAGTGAAGGTGAGAGACAAAGAAACTGTGTCTGTGACGTTGTGTGACCCAGAATGGCTCAGCAGCACAGTGTCAATGATGTTAGTTCGTCCCAGCAGAACTACCATTAATTAAGCGTGAGACGGGTTCTCTCCACTTCCCTCCCCTGTCACCTATGATGTTGATCCTCAGAACTTGAGGACTTCACCACTTCTCACATCAGGAAGAGAAACTGTTCCTCAAGTGGACCAAAAATAGATGCTGGAGAAGATTCCAAAGATTCTCGCTACTACCCACAAACTCATCGCAGTTTCCTACGAGTTCACGTCGAGCGTCACATCTGCAGCCTGTGGTTTCTTTTCAGCACTGTGATACATCGCTAATGAGAGCTGAGCTCTTTTTACCCCGACAACCTGAGGAGAGGAGAACTCTGCCTGAACGGTACAGATGGTCTCTTTACCTCTCAGACTATGTTTCCTGACAGCCAACCAGAGAACTGTAAAATTAAAGGCCTTGGCAAATGAAATCTGTGACACTGTGGTGTGAATCAAGGCAGACTCTGCCACAAAAGTTTGTTGGTGAGAAAAAGAAAAAAAAATGACAAGATGAAGTTGAAAGTTAAACCGAGGGCAAGTGCAAGATTTTTACGGGGGACTTAGAAAAGTGCATCGTCTTGCACCTAACGGCTGCATCATGGGTATTGACAAAGAGGTATCACTTCATCATTTCACCTTGGAAAGGAGAGTCTGCTTCATATAAAAGCTCCTTCATAACACGCAGAACTTTATTGACTAATTCTGATATTAATAGCCCATGACACTAAATGCCATTTTCTTCCAGATACCACGATTTTTCCTTATCCAACGTGACCTTGCTGGTGGTGCGGCAGACAGCGGTGTAATGTTTCTTTGCTCAGTCACCACCGTCACAGATTACTGATCCCTTAGACTTAGAGTGAATGAGGAGTGGTACAGTTACACTCTCACCTCAGACTTAAAAAAAAAAACAACTCCTTCCCCTGTCAGCTCTGCCCACATCACAAATAATTTACATTGTTTTCAACATGTCTGACTCTGAAGTTCAAGTGTCAGTAATGACATAAAGATCCATCACCAGCGCTACAGCAGCCAGATAATGTGTTCTTGAGGTGAACAGGCTGTCACCACAGGTCCCTGTATGTTTTCCACTGAAGTATCTCTACTCCAATCAGAGTAGAGATCCTCCACTGCTTCAATAGGAAAAACATATTGTTCAATTTGTGTCCAAAGGACCGCAGGCCTTAATTCACATTGTCGTCATGACAGTGACATTCATTGGTTTGAACTCAGGGCGTACCGGAGAACGGCCTCCGTCGTCTCAGGTTGAGTGACTGACTGACAGATGGAGAGAGACAGAGACAAAACAGCACAAAATAGACAAACAGAGGAAGAGGAGAAAAGACGAAGCAGCCGAGCTGGCTTTTCACACCTCGGTAAACAGCAACACCTCAGTTCTTAATACACTGACGAATACAACGGCCTGACCTCGGTGATATAGCAGAGAAACAGCAGCACGGCTGCAATTTACCCACGCAAGACACGGGCAGAAGGTCGTGATTTTACTACTTATTTTCCAACAATGACAGGTACGAAGCTCGTACGCAGGAGTCGTACGGTGACTCATTAGTTAGCTGGTTAGTTAGCAGTTGGCTGTAACTAGGTCTGTGCCAATCAGCCTGCCCCAAAAGATATCGTTACAGCCACATACTACCAACCCACATCATAGTGATGCAATTACTGCACATCAGTTTGTCAACTTCCTGTTGGGCAGGAAGTGATCTAATCACTGCCTTTGGGCGCAGATCCTAGGTGGAGACCAAAGCTCCAGTATCGGACATCAACAAAGAGCCAGGCTATAAAGATATCATATGGATCTTAGGATTAGCCTAACCTAGCTTAGCCTCAGAGGTGCCCGGGTGTAATAAATGAAACAGTTTCTACATCCCTCCACACTCTGTTCTGATGCTGCTGTACCTGAATGGTGGGTGGCGAGCGCTGCTTCCTCGTGGTGGTCGTAGACAGAGTGGTGGTGGTCTCGATGAAGGTTGTGGACATCTCCGGCGGCACCGAAGTGGTGGTGCGGGCCCCGCCCCGACTGTTTGGCACATCACCAACCAGCCTCACGCTGCCGTTCACTTTGATGTTGGCGTTGCCCTCGGCTGCCATGTTAAGGACCTTCAGGCCGTTGTAGTAGAGCCCAGAGAGCTGGCCCTGGTAGGGCCGCTTCCGGTCATTTCCACCAATGGAGATGGTGGCCTGGGTGTTGAAGATTGTCAGTTGCCGGCCTGGATCAGGAGGAGGGGGGAAGAGTGTTGAAACACACAGCGGGTTATATGAAGCAGTCATTCACACAGCCTTTACATGGAACGAGGTTTTAGTTTTATTTTAAGTCAGTAAGTGGTTTGAACTTTAAAGAGTCAGAACTGTAATGATGATGCAACAAACTTTTTTTAAACACAGAAAAAGCCGGCTCCGCTCGTCTCTCACACATCTGCAGGAGAACAACTTTTTCTTTTAACGTAGAAGAAAAAGAGCCACGGAGGCGGCTGCTAATGCTGAAAACAACATTCGACAACAAGAAGAAGAAAAGCAACATTAGCCGGAGGGGGAGAAAAAACATGCACTCGGTAGGAAACAGCAATTGAAAATTACGTGGATTTACTTTGTTTTTGCCGAAACTCCAAATATTCTCCAGACAAAACAATGGATTCATGCAGTACAACAATTAATTGAGGCGTGCGTAGGCTTGGGTATACGATGACACGACTACAAGCGATGCACACTCGGTATCTACAGCGGAGAATATCATTAAATATCATTTTCAGTTTACGCCGCTCATGCATTTATTATGAACTGAGTGTACACCAAAGTTTCACGGTACAGGAATCATAATTAAAAATCTCATTGTAAAATGTACACACACAAGCCTGTTTCACTGGCTGTTGCTGCACAATTATTATACATAATGCATTAGACGTGAAATGACAGGCACGGGATGTTCATATCACAGAAAAGCCAAAAGGAAACGGCGTGTGGAGTCATGCATGCAGCAGTAATGGGATCCTTCAGACTTGTCTGTGTTTTAGCCGCTTGTTAAAGGGACTTTATAATTAGTTTAAGATGTTTTTTGTGCAAAGAACTTTAGACACAGTTTATGATGATATTATGGTGAAACTGAACATTTAATGCGATTCACAAAACACAAAGGGGGAGAGAGGAAGAGAGGCATATCTATATATATATATATATATTTTAACATCTATCGCAATATGTCGCTTTAAAAATATACATCTCACGCCTCCATCGGGGCACAGTCTACCTTTTGCTGTCGCTAAAATTAGCTCCGCCAGCAAACAAGTGAGACATTTGCCGCCTGTAAGGTGTAGAACAAGCAGGGACACGTCTTTAGGGACATACTGTATGTCAACTTTATTGGAGATCAAACCAATTGGTCCAATCAAATAATCTCTCCAGTCCCTTTAACTGGACACCATGCACCATCGAACTCATAAAATTGTGATGATGAAAAATAAACTAAAACAGTCTGTTTGGGTTTTTTTTTTTACTTGTTTTTTTAAAATGATTTAAGGGATGGTTTTTCATTCTCAGAGTTCGGAGGGGGACAAGCTGATGACATGACAGAAACTTAAAAAGAAAAAAAAAAAAAACACTAGAAGTTGGTGAAGAGTTACCTTTCTCCTGAAGCCAATCCTCTACCGGCCGGGTATATTTGAACGGGATTTTCTTATTTGCCATTTGATAGCGTTCAATGTCGCTGTTGCCTTTAAAGTTTGGAAATTTAACAAACAACTTAAAACAGTGTTGGCCACAGCAACAGACATCACACATTTATACAGTGGTTTATGAGGCGTTTTATCTTTGTTTATAATTATTTATAACAGCTTTATGTTTTTTTTAAATATATATATATCTACACAGCATCTTGACTTTAGTTGAACATTTAAAAAATTGAGCATTTATCGAGCACATTTCCACATCCAAATGTAACAATATATATGTGACCAGAAAAAGCATTGCACGTACAACAAACCTGCAGCCTTAGGCGAAACCATAGGCAAAGCATTAATCATATTTCACAGTAAAGACACAACAAGGGCAATCAAGTGGTTAAAAAGGCAGCCGTGTATTAAGTGCTTTTCTCTGAAGCACACTGGAGGTAATTTATGTGCACTAATTCTTCCCACTGGACACCACCTGCTTTTATATTTCAAAAGGCCAAGGAATGATTCAATTTAGCAGCTCATTTAGAGTTAAGGAGCGGCGCAGCTGGAAAGCAGAGGGAAAAGGGTGGCGGTGTTATGAAAAGGAAGTGGTAATTTGAAGTAGCGCTCGACCTACTGGGACAGGAAGTCCCACGGTGACACGGTCTCACCAAAGACAATGCATACAAATGAGGTTGTTACCGACTTGGCACACCGACACACTCCGGGTAAATAAGACGACCGTGTGTGTGTGTGTGTGTGTGTGTTGTTTCTGGCATGACAGAATCTGCAACAGCAGGAAAATTCCATTAGCATTCCTTTGGAAAACCTCTGTCTCTCTCTCTGCAGATCCCAAAAAAGTTCTCACGTTTAAGAAGTGAATTGTGAAAACCGCGATGTCACCGAGGAAACATTTATTGTAACATTTATAACATGGCCGAAAGGCCAAGAGCATGTGATGGGGAAAAAGAGCCGCCTGGAAACATGATCGTTTTAATGAAATTCTCTCAGGTAATAAATCCATAGACGATGCACACACACACACACACACACACACACACACACCGGAGCTTTGATCTCCTCTCTATACCCACAGGCGTCGTAATAATTTTTTGGTACCATTGCTTGGTTATTTGCCGAGTTGGAACTGCGTGGATTTCACCTGCTGATTAAAAACTGCATGATTGTTGATATAGCACAATTTTATTAAAGCATTCATTAATCCACATATTCTCCAAAGTAATTAGATAAACCATGAGCGTGACTGGGTTTCATCTCTCCCTTCATGCTCTCAAATTCTATTTTTTTTTTTTTTAGCTGTCCCTTTTATACTCGTCTTCCTATTCACACAGCAACCAGCCGTGTGCACAGAGGAAGTGTTCTGCTGCTGCTGTCAGGGAGCTCAAAGAGCTAAAGGACTGGGCTCGTGTCGTGGCAGGAAGGTTAATCAGCAGCTAGCAGGGTTCCCTCCTCGTTCTTTTGATCTCAAGGTGGCTTCAGGTAGAAGCCAGAGAGTCAGAGAACTTGAGAGGTGGCTTCAGGTAGAAGCCAGAGAGTCCTGGCTCTGGAGGAGGCGCAGGAAGGATGGTCTGAAGGATGGAGGATTTGACTGAGAACTTGAGGGAAAATATGGCCGCTGCTATCACATGGTCAAGTCTTAACTGCAGTCCCAGACTGCAAAAGACAGAAACCATATGAGGAGCCGAGAGAGTGTTTCAATGGCGTGATCCCAGGTATATCTCTTTCATTGTTCCAGAGAGAGATTAATGAGGTGACAGGCGCCCTGTAATGAATACATCAGCGGCTAATTGTCCAACTAATGGGAAATATCTCTGCAGTTCGTCAATTTGATATTCAATTTATAAACGTGACCTGAGAACGCACGACCTTGACACTGAAGAAATAATGTTTGTGAGAAGGCCACCCTGCCTTTCCTCCAGGATCGTTCAAGCACCTTCAGTTCATACGGAGAGAATATGGACGCAATTAGAACGGTTACGTGGAACAAATACTAGGAAATATTACTCTCTGCATAGTGCGGGCTTAATACATGTTTAATAAGAGTCTTTAACAATTTATAATTATAAAAAAAACTTGAGAATTAGTGACCTTTGTCATCATACATGTTGACGTAATAAAAATAATTATTATAACAATTAATATTATTATTATGCAGATAACATCCTTACTGATTAAATAAATAATCATAACAATAATTAATATAGTATTATTATTATTAATATTATTTTCCTTTTTTGGAGGATTTATTTTTAGTAAAAAATAAAGTAAAGTCTATTGAGACAAATTAGCTTTGCATATTTGGGCTACAAGAATAAAACTGACTTAATAACAATAACACAGGTAATATATGTATATTGTTATTTGCATTTAAATATCCATTTCAATATCGAGTAGCGTTTTAACTCCTTTGTGCATCTCACTACAGCCTTCAGGTAATGATTGATTATTTCGATTTCTTCTCCTCCTGCACGCGTTCCATATCGACAACCGTGAACCCAAGTAGGACTGAGAATTAGTGTCTAAAACTAAGAAACGGCATCCTCAGAAAAACTGGCCACCACTAAGAATCTGTAAGATTAGTTCGACGTTCGCCGTTTGATTTGGTGAGAATTGAATCTCCAGTCATTTTCATGGATTTACATGTTAGGCAGCTGGAAAAACCAATAGGTCTCCAGTGACCAGTCACTCACGGTGAAGTTAACGGTAACTACTGCAGCACGCAGGGTTTGTTTACATCATACTGTGGGACAATTAACAGAGTAGGTGTTCACTGTGCCATCATTTTCATGCAGACTGTGCTGTATACAATTATATATCATTAAACTTTGCATTAACTTATGTTTTATTCATGTACTTTTTTTTTTTTTTTTTTTTTACTGTTGAGTGATTATAACTCTCCTGTTTAAAGCTATGCCACCACCCTCTAGCATTAGCATACAATACATATATGGCCAGTGTGTGGCACTTTATTTAAATTTATGTTAATTTGATCTACAAAAAAAAAAAAAAAACAGATCTTCAAAGATTAGGGAGATTTTGGGGGGCTTGCAATGGCTGCACCTCTCATGGTTTGTTTTTATTCAAATCACAATGCGTTCCTCTGGACAGTTAACCCTCATGAAAAGCCCTGCTCAGATGAATCTAACTGACTTATAGATGAAGCTTAAATATTACACCAGACTTTGATTCCCTTAGATGAAACATGGCTGTTTTGACACCGTGTCTGCCTGTCTGTCAGTACGCGCTCGTGCTTCCTCTCAAATATCCAAAAGGGAATATGAATGTTTCTCTTTTATGGCAGCTATTTATTCAACACACTGGCGCGGCGACAGTCATTTGCTGGTCGGCCGCTTCGTTTCATCCAGTCCACTTGCCAGACTAATCTCACTGGGGCTCCATCAGAGGACTGGTGCTAAGAGAGCATCAAAACTGTGAAAAAGGCTACCGTGACACACCACTGGCATCCTCTCCATTTGGGGATAATAAGTATATTTGACACAGTCCTGTGGAAAAAGCTCGGGCTCGAAAAAACTAGCTGTCGTAAAAAACCCTGGATATGAACGTCCTGCGGCACAAACGCGCGCTTCGATCTCGAGACGACTTTTATCGTCGTCTCCCCCCTCTACGTACGTACTTCTACCTCCTTTCTCTGCGGCTTCTCTTCCATCCGCTCAGGTTTCTTCCTCCTCTCCGTTTCTGTTCAGTTCACTTCTCTCCACTTCCTCTTCTTCTCTTTGTTTTTCCCTCGTTCGTTCTTGTCTCCTTCCAGCGCAACCATCCATCCTCTCCTTGGCTAAATCAGGCTTCCTCGGCTATGACTCCAATCCTGGCGTGCCTCTACTTACTCTCCTTTGCCTTTCTTCCTCTTTTCTTACTACCCACCCATCTGTCTAGATGCCAGCTCCTTCTGCCTTTTGTCAACTTATTCCTGTCATCTGCTCTGTATTCTCTGGGTGGCTGTACTTTTTTTTTTTTTATCCCTGTCACCCTGTTTCTCCTGTCTACCCTTCCTTCCACTTTCTTTCCCACTCCTCAGACACAGCCCGAGTGTAAATTCACCATTTCTTAGGTCCCTCTGAAACTGAAAGTGTTGAGAGAATGTAGCTCCTACGCTCAGCTTTGTCTGGCGATAACGATTGTGTTTAGGACGGTGCTAATCGTTTTGGGCCCTTAGGGACGCAAAGGGGATTTACCCCACTCCTCTTAACGCTTTATGGTACGCTCTAAAAAACATGGGGCGGAAGGTCTTTGTGTGTTTGTACTGTATGGAATTGTTTTTATCTGCTGTTCTAAAAAGACTGCATTCTAAATAATCTTGTATAGCTCCCACCAAAAAAGGAAGTGCACACACAGTCATATTTCCCCTGAAGCACAAGCAGAGTAGTTAGGCTGCTGGTCATTCATCTGAAAGACCGTCTGAACCTCGGCCAGCTCCAGCAAAATGTGAAGCACAATTTCTAGACGGCCACCCAATTTGGTAGTTCTGTGATTTAACGATTCAAGCTCGCACAAAAAAAAAAAAAAAAAAAAAAGATCATCTAAGCCAAATGGAAGAAGGCTGGGATTGAGACGTTACACAAGGAAATTGGAACCCTCTCAACTAACAAAGACAAGGCCCTGCAGTAATGTGGGTTGTCATAAAAATACACAGGATTGGAGAGGAGAGATGCAGAGTCCAGATGAGCACTGACTGGAAAAAAAGGATTAGAAATGCTGCAGAAAAAAAAAAAATAGATATTTAGGGACAAAAAGAGAATTGAAATCTCAGAAGGTATTGTTGGAGAAGATTCAGGGAAACACACACACACACACACACACACACACACAAGCCTGTACGGATCAGTTGTTCAAAAGAAACACGAGACTGCGAAGAACCAAATTAATCTTTGGTCTAATTATTTAGGGTTTTTTTTACCATCAAAATGCAGTTTTCTTTCTTGTAAGTCATTGTAATGTAAGATTTCACTAACTGTTAGCTCAGGGCTAAGTCTGAGCGCTAAGTCGTTTTCCTTGTTAACTTTCGCAAATTAGTGAAACTGTGCTGTCGTCGTCCTTCTTTTAACCCACTTCTCAAAACAAATCACTCTAGTACTGCTAGTATTACAATATTTTTTTCCACGATATCTAACACACCTCTAACAGAAGCGTGTCAGTTATTTGTAGTCACGTTTGTTTTTCCTTGTCCTGACAAGAGAAATGACAGCTTGTAAATTAGTCCGGATCTCAACCAGGTTTGGAATGTTTTAACGAATTTGAAAATAATACACATTTATCCGCCATCTCGAGCCGAACCTGCACTTCTGGCTCTTGACTATAGGAGGCTAACTTTACTAACACCACGGCGAAGGCGTTCCATTTACGCAAGAGGTTATTTGGCTTTGACTGACAAACAATTCACCAGCACTTTTGTCTTTACCTATTCCCTGCCAACGAGAAAGGGCATGCCCAGATCCGGTAACTGTTTATTGAACGACCTGAGTGCTTTGTAACAGCTGCCGTCTTCAAGGAAAGAGCCGGGAGTGTGAGAAAGCAGTCAATGAGTCTGCAACCTGACATGTAATTACTCATGAGATGACAACGCCTTTACGAGGGAGAGAAGGCAAAAAAAAAGAGAGGCGAAAAATCAATCATCGCTGAATTACTATCACTGAGTGTCCCGCAAATTACCTGAGAAGAGAAAAAGAAATTACAAAACATTCGATCTTCTGACCTCCAACTCCTCGAACACGGTGGCAGGAACAAGCCTCAGCGGGATGACCTTGGAGGGGTTTTTTCAGGGCGGGAACGTTGTGCAAGGGCTTAGACAGCAACGTCTATGTTCCAAACGGACGCCTTAACTCCTCACTTGTCAGACACTCGTTTGACGAGCGCGTGTCTGCACAAATGCAACGACTGCTGTCATTACGCCGGGTGTCAGTTTGTGAAATGCACATAGTATGAGGATTTTACAGCAGTGCCAAGGTTGTACCGCTGAATTTAAACCTGTCTTGTTTTATCTGGTCAGAGAAAAAGGAAAAGAAAGCCGACGGCAAAAGAAGGCCGGAGACAGAGGAGATTAGCATCACCTGCACTGGCAGTGAAGCAAAACCAAGACAGCGTGCCAGTTCATGCCAGGAGGAATATCTGCCCTGGCCACAATGAAGAACCACGACAAAGAGAGGATGGACCACTGAGGCACAGGGAAACAGTAAAGGACGTCCGAATCTTTTGGAGTTTCCTTATCATGAGGAAACATTTGCAGAATTTCACCAGTGTTTTCTGAGACATTTGGGTTAGTTTTCTGCAGCGTCTCTTTTTCATACGTAATCCTATCGCTCAGCCCCGGCTCCTCACTTTGGAACATTCACAGCTTTTCCATCATAACTCCACTGAATACCTCCAAATAAATAAATTAATAATTTTGCCTTCCAATAAGCATGCACACCTAAGAGGGGCCCACTCCCTACTTTGGGAACCACTGCTGTAATTTGGTATTCAAAGATTTTTAAAATGCTACTTTCACTGTAAGTGACACAGTGTCTGGTACTGCAAGAAAATGTTATTTTCAAAAATCATTTTTAGTTCATCTATTCCATTTAACTGTCCTGCTGTGATGGCACAAATTCAGAGACTTATTATCTTTTTACATCTCAACTTCTCTTTAACACGACAGCCTCTTTGTTTCATCTGGTGTTCAAACCCTGAGTGACTCCCAATGAACAAGGAAAGGTGAGTTAAGCCGGCTCCCAAATAAGTGCAAATATCAAGGTTAGGAGTGTCGAGTCCATTTAATGAAGTGTGAACACGAAGCAGAGTCAGGTGCCCTCCCTGTCTTCACTTCTCCCTCAGAGACACACACACACACACACACTCTCTCTTACTGCTCTGCTAACCCTCTCAACAGGACCACTAAGCTGCACTTCTCTGGTCCACACAGAGGTAGTTCCAAATGTGGCAGGTTAGTGTTTGATGACCCTGTTTGTATTCCGCTGCTGCGCGGCTTCTGCTGAACTGGGAATGAAAAATACAGACATACAGCAGCGTAATGTGTCCAACAGCACCCCCCATTGGTTCCTGACTCTGTCGTCCCCCCCCCCCTCGCTCGCTGACTGAATGCCTCTTGGTACCTTTCAACTGTTCCCCTGAAATGAACCGATGAGATGTTACAAAGTTTACACCTTGAGCAAACAAAAGATTCTATCTGCCCGCGGAGTTCGAGGTCTGAGGGCACGGGTGAAGCTTTTTGAAGACGGGCGAGTGGAAAGAGAAGAAATAGCAATAGATTTACTTTAACTGACGTGTTTTTACTTTGAACATCGAGAGAAAATAATTTTCAATATATTAGGTTTTTTTTTTTTTTTTGGCCCTTTGATCTATGAAAAACAAGGGTGATCCAGTGGTTTTAAAAGTCTACCCCAAATCCTAAAAAAAGGACTGATGAGTGCAGTACCTGAGGGGAAATGCTCATTGATCGGCCAGTTGTCAACCTGCAAGGTGGCGTTGCCTCCGTTCCTGGTGAATCGCACCAAGTGGTATTTGCCGTCATTGACCGCTGTCATTTCCTTCACACTGATGTCCACGGTCCCTATGTTGAAAGTCACGCCAACTTTGCCTTCCTCCTGTGAATGAGACAAAATGAAGGCACCAGAATGAATCATTAATGTATTAAAAAAAAATGTTGTTGATATTTACAATGCAACAAAACCGTCATCAAACCTACTGCACCTTCATCAGCCATTGGTTTAACACTGTAATGTGACGAAAAAGCCACCAGAAGAAAACGTAATGACGAGTAATGATTCACGCCTGCATGTCTGCTGCGGTCCTGACAAAACTACATGTAAGTTTTAATACTGGACCAGCGACCACTCCATTACTTCCTGATGCCTCCAATTGACCCCCACTAATTTTAATATGCAACTGTTTGTATATTTTTTATGACAAGCAAAATGGTTCAGAGCCGAGTCAGCGCTTGGTTGGCTGAGCGGAGTTTCTCTGTGTCACTTGTTTTAATCTCCCGCAGGGCGTCGCTCAGTGTAATTATCTACCATTGAAGCTCGGTGAAAAGGGACCGTTTTTCATAACAAAAGTGAAAATAGACGGACACGCAGAGGGGGCAGACACATATTGTTAAGTGATCAACAGAAACACAGGCTCACCGCGAGGAAACCGACCCTGGAGCTGTCAAGTTGAATTGAATGCTTTTGGCCTGCATTCAAACGTTTCAGGGTAACCGACCGCACCTGAACGTGTCAATTTCTTTCTATTGTTGCAGGCTCTTTACGGTGGAGGAGGATAATTTAATAATGCTAACCTGTACTGCAATAAATACACAGGAAATCCTCGACTTATGTTTGAGTGCCGTTCCGACAGTAACAGCAAAAAATTAACATTTTACATTAACATTTTTTATAATTTTACCATCTGAAAAGGACACCTAAAGAACAAGAAAGAAGAAAAGCGGACCCTTAATAATTAAAAAAAAAACATGCCACAACGTGCTCGAGCGGTAGTTCTACCCTCGATGACGTGCCTTCGAGTTTCACAGGAAAGTAGAAAATTCCTTGACTGCATGAAATACCACAGAGAACGAACGCACGTTGGTTTTCCTGACAAGTTCTTTTGAACCACTGATGCAGTCGGATGACCTGCTCTAAATTCAACACTTCTGTTCTTTCTACAGCGCTGAGATAATACACATCATAATGCAAGGGAAGACAGTGGCCCTTTTTTTTTTTAAAAATCAATCACAAGCTTGGCTAACAATAGAAATAGAGCGACACAAAAGACATGAGAAAGCCATTCCCTAAAAGCCAAGATAGTGTTGAAAGCCGGTGTGGATGGAGCTGCACTTAATGGTTTTGTCAGAGATCCTGCACAAGGTGTAGAAATGAATAGAAATGCATATAAGAAGTGGGCAGATCAACTCAGTACAGTGTTAAGTTGTGGCAAATGCATTTAATCCATGCAGCCATAAGGTGGCACCAAACACAAATGTGTATTGTATGTTAAAAATTAAAAAAAAATTACTTTTTACAGCACCTTTTTGTGCGACTAAACTAAGAGCCAGTTTTGACAGAGCTCTGCCTTTGTACACTGACTGTGACCTTCTGAGACTCTGGCAGCAAAAGCTCTGCCGTGCGCTTGTATCTAAGCCACATCTGACCTGTTAATTCCTAGGAACAAAGACAGATCATCAACCCTCTGGCCCGGGAACAAGCAAACAACAAAACACAACAATTGTACACCTCTGTAACTAGTGCTGAGCTCCTCCAGGCGGAGTGCAGAGAGGAGACGGCTTCACAATAACAAACTTCTTTTTTTTTCCTCGACTGCTCCTAATGTCCGGCAGCCCTCCTGTAAAAAAAAGTTGGCACCAGCTTTCCTCCCCCCCCCCCCCACACAACTAGACAATGAACACACCTACAGTATCAAAATACAAATGGACAACCTTTTCAACCTTGGGGTCACGACCCCAACTGGGGTCACCTAAAATGTCTAGTAGTTAATTTAAATACAAATAGTTTTCCAACTAATTATTATTGTTATTTTTATCTTGATTAAAAATATTAACATTTTTTTAACTTTCATGAAAAATCATGGGAAAAATATAATGCATATAAAAATAAAAACAAAATAAAATGTCACTTGACTACTCGACACACTCTAACATCCTAAAAAAATAATTGTAGAAAAAAAATGTATCTAGGGTTGCCAGAAATTTATTAAAAAGTTAAAATGTTGTCACAAGCCATGAAAGGTCACTGGGGTCACCTGAAATGTCTAGTAGTTAATTAAAAATAGTTTTCCAACTAATTATTATTGTTATTTTAATCTTGATTAAAAATATTAGCATATTTTTCTTTCGGCTTTGTCCCTTTTTCAGGGGTTGCCACAGCAAATCATTGATTTCCATCTCTCCGTCTCATAAAAGGTCACTGATATAAACCCCCTTTAAACATGCAACTAGTTACTAATGCTAAAAATCTGCTGTAAATGACTGTAGCTGGTTAAATCTGTCAGAGCTTGTCTTTCACTCCCACACTTTCTAAGTGTTGTCATTCAGGGATGCGGTAGTTTGTTTGTGCAAAGCGTTGAGCGTGTTTGGGTACGTACACTCATACCCCGTGTAACTAAAACTGATAAATGTAATTTCATCAAGCGTCGCAGGACCACAACAAAACCCCTCATTTCACTCTGCTATAAGATTGCGCCACACACTGACATCTGTAATCAGGCCTGCTGCAATCCAATTCGCCGCCGATCAATGCCGCCAACACACGGAGGCACCTGAGGCGGCATGAAAGGGAGAATCACTCAGAGCGGCGGTCGGTGATCTGCAGACAGCCATCGCAGCTCTTAGTGGGCAGCGGCTGTCAAGAGCTTGAGCAGCTCACAAAAGAACCAATCCACGGCAAACTGAGTGGTCATTCTGTTACGCCACAGACCCTGACTGAGTCCTACATTTGGAAGCCATCTTATAAAAGAGTAATGGGTAGAATTAGCACTTTTAGCTTCACTGGGGAAGAGAGGAAGAGGGCAGGAGAGTAAACTCCATCATGAAAGCATGGTAAAAATGAAGTGGCAGTCGCTGCAGTGTGATCAAGCCGTGACTACAGTGGATCTATATTAAGTCTCAACTGGCTGAGTGGAAGATCTGATGTCAAGAATGCGAACATGTCCCAGCGCAGGAGTTTGTGTTACATATCCACCCTTTCATCTGACATCAGTGCTCAAGTTAGCTTCTGTGGTCTGGGACCATCAAAACTGGATGGTGGAAGCAGAACAAGTAGAATCAATACGGAGAAGAATCGGGGACAATGTAAGATGTGGAGGATTGATGTACCTGGCCTTCACTGCTGCCAAAGTCATTTATTGTCAGTAATTGACAGAGATAAGTGATGGATGACGCTGTGATTTGTAGCTGTCTGTTCTTCTGCGCGTCAGGCTCCGGAGGAAGGGAAACTGCTAAAGGGTAGGATGTTGAAGAGTGGCCCGGGTCTGCGTGCACGGGGTAGCAAATAGTACACGTTTCCAAACCTTTACTACTACTACAGTACCTGTGTAAACAAAGCACGTAGTGATGAGTAACATCAGCAGTGTTATATTGATGGCAGTCACATGAAGTATCAATGCCGATATGGATACTGTGTATGATTTTTAATCTAATACTGAAGACCTTTAATATGTAATTTATTAAAATATTGATTAGTACTGATACTTGATAACTGATGAGTGTAATTTGTAATCAATACTCGTGTCAGTAACGATATATTGATAGCACTGAATCGATATTACCATCAATGTTTTAAGCATCTTTGTCGGTGCTGAGAAAAGGGAAAAACTACAACAAATATTTTGTTTTTTGTTTTCTCCCTTCTAATCTAGAAGCGTGGCAGTGAAGAAAGCCTACACAAAAACTACAGAAGTTGGCTTCGCGAAATCAAAAACTTGAGGTGACTAGATATTACATCATGTTCCGTACGCAATTCTTTTAAAGGAGACACATCTTCAAACAGAAAAAAAAAATGAAAAAAACTAGTTCATTTATAGAGAGAGCTGCCAATATCAGCAGTGCAATGGAATGGGATGCTGACAGAAACAAAAACAGGCCGTCTCCAAGAAGACACACTGAGTGATGGGACTGAATAAGGCACCGCGGATGAGGTTACACGCTCTATTTTCGAAGCCTGCGCGCAGACTTCGGGGCTTCGGCTTTGAACTGTGACAGTCTTTAGGCGCTATTAAAATAAACACGCGGCAGAAAAACTGTGAAATTTCATGACTTATTAATCGGCTCAAATGTTCATTCAGACGTTCATAATTGGCTGCAGGGATGCTGCGAGAGGTGATGTAGGGAGATACAAGAACGCAGGGGCTTGGTGCCACTGAAATATTGATCACACCTAAAAGAACCCGGGGGTCTAACACATACGATGTTTCACACCTGACAAAGCTTCAGAGGAAGGACAGGAACAAAATGGCTTCCGCCATGCTTTATTTAGAGCTACAGTAGGTCATTTTTGTTGCATTACCACGGAGTCCATTAGCCAGTTGTTTAATGCCCATGTGTGCTGGCTAGCGTTAGCAGCCCAGGAGGAAGAGTGGGTGCATTTTTAATACGGACACATACGGCAGCATTGTAAGAGAAAGTAATGGCTTTGACTCCTGCGCTTACGCTCAATGTCAAACTCTGAGTCCCGCTCTTTGATCCTCTGCCGCAGAATATGAATCGTGTCAGCCTTAGCAATTATTTACACTCACTCTTTCTCTATTTCCTGTTTGTCCGCTCTTGTGGCTGTAACTTGCTCTGACAGTAATGGCGGATAGCCCGGAAGAGACATTTGTCAAAGTTGACGCCGGGTCCCTCTCCCACTCCGACGTACTGTATAACTTTCAACATTTTGGAAGTTAGGGTAGTGATAACGTACTGATCCTAGGCTTCGCCAACGTTGTACTTTCTACACAAAACTGCATTTATCCCATGGTTCAAGAATCCTAAAGAATGAAAATACTGCTGACCCACGACAGCACGAGATGTCAGGCTGTTTTTAAAAATAGCCCATCAGGCATTGGTTCGTGTTCCTTCCTAAATTACATGCACACATGCAACACAGCC